AAACGATACGTGGATTTACTAGGCTAACCTAACTACAGATTACTATAATTTATCAAATACTGTTATTATGTTATTACATAGATTTTTTGTAAAAAAAAAAAAAGTTTCTGCCTGAATGCATCAATATAAGCAACTGCTCTACATCCGTGGCTAAGAGGATTCTTTGTTCAACGGCCAAAGTGAGAATTTCTGGATCAACAAATTTCCGTCCGAGGATTCGGTCTCGTTGTCAAGTACGCTAATCTACATATCTTATTTGAAAAAAATATGGTCTAATATAAATGTATGAAACGCTTACACATAACAGTGGCGAATAAAATTAAAACTGACAATTCAGTTTGATTAAACATCTACATCTCCCTTTCGAAATACTGTCAAACAGGCTTAACTACTTATATATAAAATATATTTTAATGAAATTTCTGAGTTAAATAAAATTAAAGCAGAAAGTCTAAAAAGTATACTCTATTATTTTACCCACTAAGCATATCTACCTATCCAATCTTCAATGCAGTCCAATTGAATAACATGAAGTACTTGTTTGCTTCCACTGAATAAAATATTTGGATCAAAATAATTATACAAAAAATGGAAATAATTAAATACATTTCCTATACACAAAGAATTAAATTTGTATAAGTAATATTATAGATGAACGACTTATATCACATTTAAGATTAAATACGTAACGTGATCGATTTGAGGAAAATATTATTCATATGCATCCTAATTTATTAAATAAAATAATAATATTCATAATAAATTGTCCACATGCAATTAATTACATTGATTATTGGTAATATACCACTATATAGTGTATTTCAATTTTTCACGTAATTTTTACTAAGTTGTACAGACGGTAAACTGTGTGGGAAAAAATCAAAATTAGTGGCTGTCATGCATAAGATGTATTCAATGTATTCATGCATTATAATGAATATTATATTATATAACACGATTAAAATACAGTCCAATGTTTAGTTAACTGTATGATATTGAGGTAGTGGTTTAATATATGTTTATTTCTAAAACGTATTTTATTCTCGATATCTAGCACATGTTTATACATTTATATAATATATTTACGTGATGTAAACAAGCGGAATTAAGTTTAAAAAAAACAAAAGAGAATTTATAATATATCACTTGGTTTTTAAAAAAAAAGTATCAGAAATTGGAAATAATAACACTTTGATTTGAAATGCAGTTATCAAAAGGTTCGCCATCCCTAGCCATTTTTTTTTTTAAATGTTAAATCACTACATGGAGGCCGTACTGTTTTCACATTGCTTAGCCCCGACGCCATCCCTAGCCTATGTTGTCGTGGGTTAACTAAAAAATATAATAATTAAAACTTTATGTGTATATTAAATGTTTTTTTTTTATACATATATTATGTTATAAATTCCAAAATTTTGATTCCAAGCAATACATACTCAAAATGAACGTCGAAAAAACCAAAAGTTTTATTAATATCAACTTTAATATACCATTTAAGTATATCTTTATTATTATGAATGTGATTTTGATTTAGAGATTACTTTAATAATTATTGATTATTTTAATATAGTATAACCCTACAGGTGTATTCTGAATAAAGTAACAGGCTTAACAAACCCATAGATCCTCCCAAGTTACCGTTGGGCTCTCCATTAATGAGAGTTCCGTAGTACTGAACACTCTACGGCGTATAAAAAAAATATGATTACGAAGCAACCAAATAATACACTTAGGATGAAATATGTGGAGCTTGAAGATTTTACTACTGTAACTCGGAATGTGGGAATGTTATATAGGTCCAAATATTCGATAATAGCGATATCGATTTCTCATTATAGCGATTCAAGAAGGAAGGTGGCTGAAGGAAGGAATCTCAGAAACTGGAAATTGGAGGGTTATCTATAGTAGTGGTAGTCAGTAGCGAGAGAGGTACTTGATAATGTCAAGGGTCTAAACATAGCAGAAGACCGTCAAATAACATTACCATCATACGCAGATTATATAATAATTATAGGAGGAACTGAAGAAGGCATGGACGTCAGAAAGCCATTGGACTACAAGTTAATGATCAAAAATTGAGTTGCTTAATAATATCTTGAAGAAAACATAGTCAAGATTCGGTAGTAGTTGGATGCTTAACATTTGTAAGGGTATCAAATTTTAAATATTTAGGAGTAGATATCAACCAAAAAGCAAATAGCCACCGAGAAATTGATAGGAGAATAATGACAGGAAATTAGTGATATTTTGTACTTGTACCATTATTTAAGTTAAAGTTATTAAACAAAAATACGAAACTTACAATTTATATAGTGATTAGACATACAGTTTTATATATGTGTGTAGCGTGGGCATCAACAGAGTCGAATAAAAAAGACTGTTAGTACCTAAATGAAAAATTATAAGTACAATCTACGGACCTAAAATAAACAAGAAAGAGAATAAGATATATGAACTAAGAACAAACTCAGAACTAAAAGAAATATTCAGTGAGCTAAAAATAGTTGAAATTCTTAAAAGCAGATAGATAAGCTGGGCTGGCCAAGTATAGATAATGGATGAACAAATAGTGTATGAGACCACGATTTGGAACCAGACAAAAATCGACTAAAATGATGCCCAAGACGATGGTAGATTGACCTAATTAGGGGAAATCTCAAGCACCTGGGGAATAGATATAGAGAACAACTTGCTAAAAACAGAGATACATGATGAGTAGTGGAAGCGACGATGGACCTACAAGGCCCAGAATAAGCCTATATATATATTTCATTTATTATCTGCATCATTTTATAAAATGTACCGTAATAATTGTAGACTCCATCCAAAGTGTTAAAATATAACAGAAATTGCGGTCTAAAATAAATATCAGAACATTAGCCAGATAGAGTAAATCATAATATAATAAATACAAACCAACAATAAAAAAGCTGATAAGTCATGAATGTCGCGTGTCGCTCTTATATCATTGTATACGAAAAACGATTCCAAACAGAGACAGTTTATCTATCTAGGATAAATTATAGATTATTAAAAATTTTCAAATCTTAAATATAAAAAGAAATTTTGCATATACAATATTGCAAAATATGCAATAATTTGCATATTTTCGTGATTTTTACGTATGTTGTCAAAATTCAAAATTTGAATGCTTGTGAACCTTGTAAACCTTAACCTTGCTAAAAAAAAATTGTGACTATGCATTTTTAATATTTTCAACTGCTTTTATAACAATGTGTGTCTTGAATTAAATTTTCAAGCTTTTCTACGCAACGTATTGGTTATTCGATATTTTTATCGATATTTATAGGAAAAAAAAAACTAAAAAATTTGAAAAATTAAAATGCCAGTAAACAGCTCAAAACTAATCAAAATATTTATAAAATATAGAAAATGCCTATATAAACATTTCAGTGAAAATTTCAAGTATCTGGGGTCATTTGTTTTAGAGTTCGGTACACAAAAATTAGAAAATCGGTATATGAGAAATCTAGTGAAAATCCAATGTTGTAAAACTTTAAATTTCAAACGCTCATAAGAATTTGATTTGATTTTTTTTGATAAAGATTGACAAACTTGTAAGGAATCTTGTATTAAATTTTTAAATTTTAGATTTAAAAAGAACATTTTTTATGCATTTCTAGCTTAAAATCATTTGCGAATTTTTGTGATTTTTACGTATTTTGTCAAAACTCGAATTTAGAATGCTTATAAAAAAAAAATGTGACAATTAATTTCTTTTATTTTTAAACTGCTATTATAATAATATTCTAGAAACATTGTATTAAATTTTGAAGCTTTTCTACCAAACAAATACATTTTTATCGATATCAATTTAAAAAAACTAATACTGATCGAAAATTGCATATGCCTATAAATAGTTTAACCTAAGTTGACATTTTTTGAAAAGTGTATGGTAAATAGATTATAGTTATATAAACATTCAGTGAAAATTTCATGTATGGTCATTTGTTTTAAAGTTACATCAAAAACCAAAATCGATTTTGACTGATTGTACGTAAAATTTCCCATTTTTCCCTTAATTTTAGTTTGTTTATTACGATTATTTAGAAAAATATTGAGAGTTTATTACTTTTGACTCCCCCCCACCCGCAAAGTACCAACTAGATTCTCTTTCTGATCGAACGAAGTGTTTCTGAAGCTGAAAATCGAAGCACTTTTACTGCCCCAAAACCTGATGACAGACATACACAAAAAAAAAAAAAAACACACATCATGGTAAAATCAATATATTCCTCACTCCGCTCAGAATCTAAAAATTATAAGGTTAAAATTTAAAATAAAATTATTATACTGTTATTTACGTTATTGTAACATTGATTTTTAATCTTATATTAACGATATTGCAGTAATTGAGTATACTAATAACTAACTTTACTAACTAATAAGTATCAATTTTTTTTTCCTATTTATGTAAAATTTAAATAATATATATTATCATATATAACTTAATTAACATATATCATTAATTTTATATTATTCATTAAAATTTGATACTATAATATTATCTTAGTGATACATAATGATCATACAACGATTATAGATGTACCTATAATAGATTTCCAGCGTTCCACTAACCTACGTGACTTATCTAGTGAAAAATTATCTTAGATTTCTAATAGTTTTTTTCATCATGAACATGATTATTTAACATTGCATACAAGAAGTGATAATTTTGGAATTATTGAAAGACTTTTATAATATCATTTGAAATATACAAGAGTTTTTGATTAATCAAAATAATAACAGTAATACAAAAAATAAACTTGTTTGATGTGATTTATATTTTATTTAGCATCATTATACCTACGAGTTTCATTTCAATAATAATTTAGTGAATACTATTATTTTAAATTATAAAAAGTGAATAACGAATATCTTTTTAAAAAAATATGGAACATTTATACTATAGTTAAAGTCAATTTATCATATTTGAAGGGAATATTAATTTCAATGAGAATTTTTTTAATGAGTCTTACCTGGTCCAAATTCATTATTTTTAAATATGAACGGCTGCACAGTAAATGCTCGGAGCAATACGTATCCTTTCATCGTAGGTACGTTTTGGTCACTCAATACCACACTAATTTCTTTTTGACAAGAATATGACTGTCCCACTGGTGTCATAAATAGCAGTGTACCATAACTGGATACTGTTGACAAACGCACTATTTTATCTGAAAATAAAAATAAATTATTGTATCTTAAAAACTAACTAAATCTTAATAAAATACTAAAATCATTTTACAAAGAATCATTTTTTTTTTTTTTTTAAAGCTGTCTTAGTATCAAACCTATATTAATTGATAACTTGTAGTTTTTATAACTTGTAATGTTATTAAAAAAATAATACCTACTTGAGCAAATAAAAGTTTTTTTTAACTAAAAGTGTATTTTTATATTTTATACTCATAAATTATTATTAAAATGTAGGAAAATAAATATTTTCAATTAAGTTAAAATGTACTTTTTATGTTTACTTTTGTATTATGGACTAAGGTATTCACTTAAAATAAATTAAAAATAAATATTGCTAAATTTAAAATATTTTCCATCTGTATAATTTACTTATTTTATTAAGATATATATATATATTTTTTTTTTTAATTATACCTTAAGCACTTGACTTAAAATATGTCTCAAATATTAACAGTATAATATAGCTAATTATAACTAATAAGCGTTTTATATTTATTTATTTATATATTTCTACGCCAAACGACAATTAACAAAGATAAATACATAAATATTGATAAGTATTAAAGATAAAAAATTAATAAAATATAATTAATATACATATTATTATTATTATTATTAAGTTACAACAAAACATTGTGTGGTCCGTGTCTAAGATTTATTCTACTCTTCACTTTTGACTCGAAATTCAAAAGTTTCGGGTCTTAGTTAATTTTAAGCATAGTTCTTTGGATAGGACAATTGTATAGATAATTTGTTCTACGAGTGCTGATTTCAAAAATGTATTTACTGCAAGACTCATATCTAGGTATACGAGATTTAATTCTTTTGAGTAAATGGCTAGCATATGTCTTCCCTAAAATTTAAGAATCTTATATCTAACATATTTCTTCTAAATTCAATGAAAGGTAATTTTAAGAAGTTCGATACCGATGAATAGTTATGAGGAGAGTGAGTAATTTTTAAAACATACCCAGTGAAAGCAAGAAAACAATTTTGACCCTTTAAATTCTTTGGATGTCTTTTTGAATATAGGGAGACTATAAAACAGAGCCATATTCCAAAATTGACCGTACTAATGATTGATAGGTAATTTTCTTGATCAAACTTCGACGTATTTCGTCGAATAAAACACAGTGTACCTACGTAGTGATTTGCATGTGATGCGCTCAACAGGAATACTAAATGATAAATATGGTACAAATGTGAATCCTAATAAATTCTTCTACTTGTTCTACTCGGGGCAAGAATTTAATATACATTAAGCAATAAAAAATATTACAACTGTGTGTTATGAAAAATGTCATTACTTTGCATTTATTGAATTTTAAGGAAATTCCAATCAAATTACACATATCAACCAGTTTGAATATAGAATTTTACGATGCAATACAGTCTTCTGAAGTTTTTATTTTATAAAATATTTTTGCATCATCTGTAAATAAAAGTATCCTATAAGGTGATATAATCTTTAATATAGTATTGATAAAAATATTGAATAATAGTGGTGAGAGTGTTCATTTTGGGATAAACTAGAAGTTGTCTTAACGTTCTCCAATTTATTATAATGTAAATCAACAAATTTAAATCTATCGCTGCAGTGTATGATTGAATCTATGATAATAATGGATTTCCCGTACTCAACTTATCCAACATAAATATTAATGTGTTATGATCAACTGTGTCAAATGCTTTCAAAAATCCATATATATATATAACATCAACTTATTGGTGKAGTTCAAACGCATTTAAGATATATGTATAAAAATCAACCATATGTATTAGTGACCATAGATCGACCTATTATAAAACTGTGCTGATAATTGGACAGTACTTCATTAAATTGTTTTTTGAATGTCTTTAGAACTAAGAATCCAAGTACTTTACCAATAAGAGAGGTAACCCTGAAATTAGACGATAATTAGTAATATCATTTGTGTCTCCTGATTTAAAATTTGTAGTGACAATGTTTATTTTCCAAATATCTGGAAAAATACCTTGCTGGAGAGATTTATTAAATAATATTAGTAAAGGTGTGGCAATGTTACCAATATTTATTATTATAATTTTATAAAATATGAACTTTTAATACAATATTAAAAAGAATCATGAACATGATGAAAATCAAATAAGATTCAATAAATTAATACAATAAAAATATTTTTTTTTTAAATTTATTTTCCTTTTTATTTTATAGATACTATAGAAAATAAGCAATAGTTGTATATTAAATGTAATTTGGTTCAGACGTCTAAAAATTTCAATAGCAATTTTTAAATTTATGTTAATATACGTACATAGCGTATATACAAATGCATTGATGAAATAAAAATTATATTTCCAATTTTCTTTTATATATATTTAATTAAATAGCACTAAGCACAGTAATAATTTTGGCAGCATTAAATATTTTTTTTTTAGCTTTACATTAATTTAAGAATACAAATCAAATTTCAGAAAGTTAGTTATCACATGGTTATATTTTAATTTCAATAACTATTTGTATTTTAAGTTTTATAAATATATAAATAAAAAATAATTAAATGTCTAATAATTAATATAAAAATGTACTTTTATTTATTTATTCATCCAAAACAATTATAAATCAAACAATTACAACAAAATATATTAATAATAGTTGATACGGTATATACGTATACTGAGCTATAATCTCTTTCATTAAAATGTTATAAAAATTACTCATTTTCTTAAAATGCATCATGTTTTATATTTATTTACAATTTAAAATGTAAGTGAACAATATTGTATTCAAAAAATAATAGTTGTAAATAATAACACTGACATAAAATATTTAGTACTTTATACAATTTTGTTTTAAATTCATGAATAAAGTAATTTTTGATGGAATAAACTTAATCAAGAGGGAAAAAAACAATATAAAAAAAAGGTTTGTTGATTGTTAGATAGATACTAAACATTGCCGTTAAGTGCTAAGAGCAAAGAAACTGTTGCGTAAATATTTGTAGGTTAGGGAACAATACAAAAGTAAAAAATAAAAAATTACTGTGAAAATTAATCAACACGCTAAAAGGCTTTGGAAAAACATTGTAAGCTGACGTGAGCTCGACAATTTCAAAAAAATATACGTCTCACTATTCTTCATTAAACACATTCATGAAATAACCACAGTCGTGGTTTCGTTCCATGGTTATTCTGAACCCAAATTAATTTAACGTCATCCGTGTCAAACCTTTGAATCATATGGATTATAAAAGTCAGTTGAATGAATAACAAAAAATCATAAAAAAATTAGCTGTTAGAAAAAAAAATATAAACGGTTTAGTTCGATATACATTTTCTGACAGCTTTCCTAATATTATAAAAATAAAATATAAATAAACTATCTATTTGAAATGATCAGGTGAATGAAGCACTAATGGTTATATCAAAAGGAAAACGATACACCGTAATTGAATTTCCTTATACAGAGTGAAAAGGAAAAAAAAAGATATAAATTATGGAACGAAGGAAGGTAGTGACAGCTAACTGTTAAGAAGAATATTCATACAAATAAAACAAAAAGGGATTTGAATTAAAAATATTTCCTTTTAGGAAAATACTTTATCTTAAATTTAGAACAGTTAACAATCCTTAACTATAAGCTAACATCGGGATAAAGTGTTAGGAATCAATTTTATTAGGTTTAGAGAAATTAATAGATTTATTTTATTTTTTACAGGCATATATATAATTCTTTTTTGGTAGCAATGGGAATCATAAATCTAAATTACCACGCTTATAAGTATCTAATTAGTATGTAGCTAAATGTAAGTGAGCACGTGAAATAATCCTAAGCTTGGGGGAAAAAATAATTAATAATATTTGAAAATATAACTGATATTATAAATTATGTTTAAATATCATCTGATATATTATTATATATATTATTACCATGACTATTTTATATAATTAGACATAATATCAATGAATTAATCAAATAAAATGTTAATAGAGATGAATTTGAATAGCAATATTTCGAATAATATTTCAAACTACCTATAGATTTAAAAAACAGATAAATTGTATAATATATAAAAATACAAGTACTGAGAGATGGCGCCATACTGGTAAACTATTTTATATGTATAAGAGGATCCAAAACTATGATTTTCTGAATATGTCTAAAACCAATTAATATGATGTAGTGATAGAAATTCTGAAAAAATAAATTTAAATTTGTCGTCTAGTATACTTGAGATTGAATTTCTCATATTTTGAATTTTCGAAAGATTGAAATATGACCATTTTTTAATCATTCTTTTTAATATAATACTTCTTAGGAATTTGTGGATATTATTATCAATCATGTGAAAAGTCGATTTCAAGTAGATTTGATGAAAAATCCAAATCTGTTTTCAGAATTCTTATCTCTTTATTAGATCAATCGGTAAGTTTGGTATTGCACACGTCTAAAATCTTATGTCGTGAATGTGTTAGACAAATAGAAAATAATGGTATAAAATCCCCTTAATATTTATAAAATGTCTTTTTTTTAAGTGAAATGAATACTACATAAGTTAATAGCTAGATTTTATAATCCATCCATAATATATCAAAACTGTGGACAGTGAAAAAAAATCAGAACAGAAGTCAGAAGGCGAAAGTAACTGAGATGAGATTACAATGATTGTATGGAGTGATGATATGTGAGAATCAAAAAATATAGCAAATTTATCATTAGTATGTTTTAGTGGTACTAATTGAAAACAAATATGAAGGTAAATAAAAMTTTATGGTTTTGTAATCTTGGAAATTTATGTAGAAAGCAAAATACTAAAGAAGAAAGGACAGAATATAGAATGACACAAATATATTTAGTTATTTACTATATAAAGGTGCTTACAGTTATTCGTTTTTAAATAATACCAAAATAAGAATATCAGTTAAAGAGAAATTGAGTGAATATCCAACGTTTTAATTCAAATATTCATTAAAATTTAATTTGAAATTCCGGTAGACAATTTTTATTTGATAAAAGTAGACAAACTCATGAATAATCTTGTATTGAATTTTTAAATCTTAGATTCAAAAAGATAAAATTCTATGAATTTTTAATTCAAAATAATTAGCAAATTTTCGTGATTTTTACGTATTTTGTCAAAATTCAAACTTAAATTGTTTATTAAAAAAAATTGTGACTATGTTTTTTAAATATTTTTTAACTACCATTGTAACAATAAATTAGTAGCCTTTTATTAATTTTGAAGCTATTTATACCCAAAAAATAAAATTATGTGATTAACATTTATTAAAAAAAAAAAACAAAAAACAAAAAACAAAAAAATTGAAAATGAAATGTTTATTAATAACTTAAAAACAATTGAAATATTTTTATAATTTTATCAAATATAGAAAATACTAATATAAAAATTCAATGAAAATTTCATGTATAATATACGTCAATTCGTTTTAGTGTTACACCAATATTTAAAATCAAATTTCTTAAAATTTTTTTTTCTTTTTTTTTTCTCGGTGCTTTTGAAAACTATTGGAAATTTTAAATTTTGATCTTTCCGATGCCACAATTAGATTCACTTTTCAACCAGAAAAACTACTGCAGTTGAAAATCGAAACATTATTTTGACATCTTATCGTGTACACTGTACACATACAGACACACACAAAACACCCATCATTGTAAAATCAATACATTCATCGCTCMGCTCAGAAGTTAAAATAATTAAATAAAAAAAATTTTATTTTTATTTTTATTTTTATAGAAAATAATCAATCAATGAGAAGAAATAGATCTCAAGGAGGCTAAACAACAAATTCTAATTTATTTTCAGGATTTCTATTGATTCACTCTATTGATCAATCGGTAATATTAGAATGAAAACGCGCTTAAATTCCTATGTTCTATATGAGTTAGATTAAAACAGAAAATCACCACTTAAAATATAATTGTTTTTAAATTAAAGTTAAATAGATGAAGAGTAGAAGAATTAATTGATTTAACAATTACTTTTTTTTTCATTAAATCAATTTTATCACTTGCTTGGAATCTCATTTTGATTTCGAGTATTTCTGAATTGTAATAGTTAAATACCTAAGATTTAATTCATATTTCAAGTCTCGGCTTAATTAAAATTCCATAAATAATTAATTTTTATAATTTGATTATTTTTTAGTGTATTTGAACATATGAGTTATACGAGCCTACTATATCATTTCCAGGTTAATTTTACTTTCACAAATTAGAAACAAATATATTATGAATTTCAAAAAACGTTTTTTAGCGTTAATTAACAAATAGTCTCATAAATAGTTAGGTTTAAATATAATTGTTGCAATTTTATGTGGGCTTAGAGAAAATTTACCTAAGTTTACAGCCATGTTAAAGCAAGTTTTAAGCACTTCTTTAATAAAAAAAATACCAATAATTGTATTGTGATTCAGATCTTCTAATTTAAACAAAACTCTAACTCAAGGTAAGGTTAAAATATAAGATATGTTTTTTTATTTTTATGTATATAACTATTATACCATAAACACCAAATTATATTAAACTTATTTATTAATGTGAAACCAGATAATTCATTGTTGTTATAAATGTAACGATAAAACTATATTTTTATGTTTCATTATTTTAGTAATATTTTATTTCATCATTATTTTTTTTTTTTTTTGAAATCCAAATTATTCCGATATTCAATATTCTAAAATCTCTTATAACCTAACACTGAAAAAAATTAATACTGAAATAATAGGAAATATAATATTGTTGAACAGTGATATTAAAAATATCTAAACAAAATTACAATAACTACATAAATTACGTATTCAATAACATTGGATAACTCCGAGAAATCCAATTATCATTGAGAATAAGAAATAGAAACCTATATTATATGTCTAAAAATATCAACCTTTTTGAATATAATTTTTTTTTTAAACTATGATTTAAAAATGAAAATTTACWWGTTTTACAATCATCCAACATCTGAATTTCAGTTATTATATTTAACTAAATATGAAAATATATTTATAAGAGTATCAGTAGTATCACTACCCGTATATAATTCTTGGAAATCAACTAATAATAATTCTAGGCCTAAAACTTAAATTAAATATTAATGTTTAAAAGTCTTGCTAAAAAACGTATTTTAAAATACTTATAAAATGTATTGTATCATTATATAGATGACAATTTGTTTTATTGTTTTCTCAATGATATACCTTATCTGAGTTATGTGATAACTCAATAAATCAGGAATATAAACTAGAAGAGTTGTTGTATTTTTGAATAGATCTCAATATTTAACAAATCAAATAATCACAAAATGTTTCATACGAGTTTACAGTATATTAATTTAAACAACAATTTAAATTATTAATATGTTTACTCTATTTAATATTATTTAAAAATTTTCAAATAAATGTTTTACCATTTCTTCTAAAGTAAAAATTTAAAAAAAATTAATTTTTCTTCCACATTATGTCAAGTATTTTGAGACATTCCAAACTTGTGACGTCGAACAAAAATGTCATCCCCTAAAAACTTGCTATCTTTTTAAATTAATTAATTTAAAATAGTCAGTTTGGGAGTTTATACCGTCTTTTATTTTCAGTTAGAAAGGTTGTTTGTGTAGGAGTTAACATCTATTTTTTTATATGGTTGTAATTCAAAAACTAATCACTGTAAATACTTGAAATTTTCACCAAATGTTTATGTTAGTGATATCTATATACAGTTTAATTTTCAAAAAATTTTGGACTTTTTTGAGTTATTTATAGACCACTGAAATTTTCGATTTTTTTGAGAATTTTTTTTGAAGTGTCGGTAAAAAAATGTTGGACGACCAAAAAAACTTGAAAATTTAATACAAGGTTCCTTATGAATTGTTCTTATTGTAGCTAAAAAAAATTAAAAATCGTAAGTCACAATTTTTTTTAATAAGCGTTTACAGTTCAAAATTTTACGAAATCTGTCGAAAACGCGAAAATTTGCAAGTAATATTGAAGTTGAAAAATCATAAAATTTTTTGTGTTTATAACTAAGGATTAAAAATACAACTAAGTTTTCTATTAGTTTTCTTTCAAGTAGCTATAGAGAAAACTCGAAGCATCATCATAGGAAAAATTTTAAGTGCGCTTGAATTTTAAATTTTTACGAAATAGCGTAACGATAACGATTTATCCTGAAACGATTTTAAATATTTGTTATTATTCAAAAAGTACAAGTTGTAGATACTTGAAAATTTTACGAGTTATTTAGATTGGCATTTTCTTTACATTATTTAATTTTCAAAATATTTTGACTTTTTTTGAGATATTTTCAGACAACTGAAATTTTTCTGAAAATTGTTTTTGAAGTGTCGATACAAGTTTTTTGGCCATATAAAAATACTTGAAAATTGAATACAAAGTTTCTCGTAAGTTATTCTTATAGTGATTAAAAAATTATAATACATAGACACAATTTTTTTTTAATTAGTATTTGAAGTTCAAATATTGACAAAAATTATTGAAACATTTAGTTATTTTCATAAACCATATCTTATAAAGATTKTTAAACTTTTTTTTCRCGATAACCTATATTGGCAATTAGCGTATGTACCTAAACGTGCTATGTGTTTGTGTACCCAAACGTGTTCTACATTTACAGGTAAAAATAATGTTATGTACCCAAACGTGCTWCGCCCCGTTTTTCGTATACAATGATACTTATAATTACATTCAAATCTAACCTTCCCTAGTCAGAGGTCCACCCCCACCATCTAATGTACAGCAGATCGACATCCACTTACCCGCTTTTTTATAAATATTTTTAAACAATTGAATAATAAAAATTGTTATGCTGTTTTCCAGTTTCAATGCATGCATGCCGTTAAATTGCCTATACAACACGCCGTGTAATTAAAATATTATAACTAAGATTACACAATACTGTAATACAATTATAAACTTTGATATTATGGCTAATGGTTAAGTAATTATTGATTTTTGAAATACCAATTTTTATTTTATTTTAAATATTATTATTATTTTACTGTTATTACCATTATTAGCAAAACGTATTAATATACTAAATTGACAATAATTATACTTCGATGACAATAATATTTTCAGAAATAAGTATATTATTTTAAATTATTTATTGATAAATGAAGTACTTATAATAATAAATTTATTAAAGAAAAAACTTCTAAAATAAGCTAGAAAAATAAAATAAATACTAAAATTGAAGGATTCCTAAAAATATAGCTGTGTATAATAATATTTATTGCATTCAAGCATTTTGTATTTAAATCAAAACGCCTTAATAAAAGTATTTGTTTAATTGAATTCTTACCTTTGGTTTTAATATGGTCGAAATGTTTATCAGCTGTGTTTATCTCAAGTTCCAATGCCTTGACAAACCATCTTTCTCCTCCAAGAGTCTTAAACACCAAACAAATTATTTTTTTATTTTTAATTTGTAATTCAAATTTTCTTAAACAAACATTTTAATTTTAACATACACTAAATGCATATATTAAAAACCTATTTCAAAAATAAAAAAATATATTTTGAAAGATCGTAATATATATTTTTATGTTGAGACAAATTTCAAGGATTTTCGGATTTTCGGATTATTGGAATTATTTAACTTTAAAATTGTTCATAAAATCTATATTTAATTTTAAACATTAAAGAAATGGAAATTCTGTTTAAAAAAAAATTAATTATATGCTTTTCAAGAAACATAATATTTTTAAATATTATATTGCTGTATTAATAAAATAAATATGAAAAAGGGATAGCCACCGATGAAGGTTGGATATTTTTAATTTTATACATTTTTCTGTGAAATAATTTAATTTGGTTTCTATTTATGATAGACATTAATTACTAAGAATATCTTATCAAAGATTTTTAATTTAATTCAATATGTAAGTTCATATTTACAATACAATATGCATTGGTTGCTAATGATATAATATTAAACAAATAATTTCAATCAATCACTACTATATATATTTACTAGTATGTATATATATTTACAAGCACTTTTTTAATTGTATTAACATTACGTTATAAAATATTAATTTTTAATACCGAAATAAAACACAAGCAATTATTGATAATCATTTTAGGTTCAATAGTAATAACTAATTGTTCGTTTAAAGTGAAATATATTGCATCTTATTTAAGGGTTTAAAGTTTTTTCAACAAAGCGCATAAAATATTTAAATTATGCTTTACTTTAAGCTAAATATTGGCCAAAAATCATAACTAAAAAATTTAATAAATTTCTTCAACTCAGTTTTGACTTAAAATAGAAACAATCAGCAAATTGTTGACATTTATTTGTATAAAAAACCCTTCAGTTTATGTGTACAAAGTAATTAGTTTACTATATTACAATTTGAGTACCTAATTTTAATAAGTGGTTTTGGACGTGTATATGAACATTACTCGACAGACGTGATAAAAAAGTTTTGAAGCGTGTAATATAAACATGTTTATCTTGAGTCGGAATAAAATGATATACTATACACTAATATTGTTTTTGAATCAGAAAATTTGTGAAATTACTAAGTACCAATCGAATATTTCTGAGTATTTTTCCAACAAAATATAATTCAAATTTTATAATATGCCACACTAAAACTTCTATAAAACAAAGGATCTATAAAATGAAAATATAATAGTACATCCACCACAAAGTAGAGTTAAAGAATCATTACAATAATAGAAATATAAGTAAATATAATATTATTTATTTAATTTTAATTTTGCTGATTGTTATTTGTTTTGTTTAAGTATGAAATGTCTTAACTTGTGTAATAATGATGGATTCATAATAAATAATAATACAATATGTTCTTTGATTATAGCTCATGGTTTATTAATAATGCCATTATAGCCTACCTATATAACGTTAATCCATACATAAACGAAGTCAATTACAATTATTATGTTTTCATAAATATTATTTTAATACACTACTGTTAATGTTCCACACTTTGGTTAATTATAGATTAAGTTATTAAAAAAATGTCTATTACAATATTTTATATAAGTAACGAGGAAGTTTATGTTCAACCGTTTAAATTGTTTATAGTAATCTTTAATAATAGAGTGGATGAACCTATTATCAGACATAAATTTAAGAACATTATCTATGCTTTCACAATAGTTTTTATAACATTTAAATTTTCAAAAATTTGAAAATATGTATAACAATACAATATAATACCTAGTCGTTGTAAAAAAACCAAGTTAAATCACAGTTAAGTCATCACTAGATGAAGTGTAAACAGTGGTGCAAATAGAATCAATTTATTATCAGTGGTAGCTAGCCCTGATTATTTAGTTAGATAGTATTTCTTCCCGAAATATGTATAATGTATATGTATTATAATATAATGTACAATGATACAGTTTTTTAATTATTTTTATTTAACTATAAATACTTTATAGAATAATAACTAATTTTTTAATACGTCTTAAATTCAAAAATACAACTAGTGTAATGTAATTATTGACGAATGTAAATTGTTATCAGATTATTTTTGTATTATATTTGAATATATTTGCTTAAACGAAATAATTGATTAAATTTTATAGAAAATAGTAAATGTTTTAGGAATTTGTACTAAAAAAAAAATTTGTTAGATGTTGAAAATATTTTTAAGTGTCATCATATGTTAACCCTCTATCCGTACTTTTCAATTAAAACGCTATTTTCACCATGAATTAAAAAAAAAATTATTATTTTTATTTTTACCTTTGTGAAGTACCAAGTAAAAACAAAATTTTTCCATTTGAGTATTAATGTCGCATCATCTTCATTACTGCAATCACCAGTTACTTCTGCATCGTCAGGAACATATAGATCAGTTTGCTATATAGTTCAAATGATATCCATAGAATAATATTGAAATTAACACAAATTTATATTTATTATTTCTGGCACTTACGTCTTCAGAACCAAGTTTAGTTTTGAACTTAACTTCTATAACAGCATCTACTCTCAACAAAATACACGTGTTACCTTCTTCCTCGTTTAATCGGAAAAGTGAAGCAACAATATTACTGGGTTGAGTCGCTGAGGAAAAAAAATCATATAGTCATATATTTTTATATTAGACATTAAAACCTACTGTTAAAAATAAACCTTAATATAAAATTAAAAAATATTACACTTAATTTGTACAGTTGTTCGGTACCTATACTACTAAATTGACTTTGTATTTTAAATATTTGTTCTATATATAATGATTTTCATCCATAACGTTAAAACAACAATTGTTATCAATTTTCAATAATTATTATTATTTTTTTACTTATACAATATTATAAAATATAATAAAAACATTAATTTGAGGATAAATAAATAATTAGTGTAAACTATGATAATAAGGTATCCAATAATTTAAATAGCTTTAGCTTTACTTGTTTTTGTGTCAACTTTATTGTACAAAACAGCGCTTTTTCGGACCGACCTCTGAGTTTCATCGTTTGCATTCGACATGGGATCTAGTGAGCTTTCGTCCGGTAAACGTTTCTAAATATACATAATAATAAATTGATTAATGCTTTTAACATGGTTTGTTATAATTCAACATTTGGCAAACATAATCCTGACAAGCCTATCAAACAATTTGAGATCTCTCTACCATCGCCACAAAGAGGTTTAGGCTCAAAATTTATGATCCCTGTTCTAGACCGTACTCTCATTATGTACATTCCAACACTTTAGAAATTTTTAATCCCAAGGGATTTATGAAGTCACTTTTTTTATAGGTTGCTTCCTTTAGGGTGTTTTAAATAAATTCAAGGATAGGTAATTTTTCGTTTTAATTATAACTAAAAATATACATATCAATTTGATATTTAATACGTTTTAATTATATTTACTTTCATACATATATTTTTTAATTTATTAAAAAAAAAATGAATACATTTCGATTACAGAATATACTTGCCTAATTTTGTAATTTACTTTTTATTTTGAATTACACTTGGAATGACTATGTGTCAGTTTTAAAGTACGATTAACATTAACATATATTTTCATGTATAAGACACTCGGACAAATCTCAATTGAAATTTGGTAAACACACTACTTAAATYAATATAAAATATTTGAAAATATTTTGAAAACTAGTGGTATTTGTAATATAATGTATAATACTATATAATATAATTTAAAAATGAACAAAATATTGAAATATATAAAAAATTATTAATTTTTTTTTTAAGATGTAATACTGTTATACCATTAAACCAAAGACTTTTTCCTTTGGATGCTTTGAATATAGATTTAAACTTTTCAAAGTTGGTAAACTCAATGTAAAAAAATATACATGTTTGTTTAAGATACAAATCATAACATTATTAAGCTTTAAAGAGCTGTTACAGGTACATGGTTCAAATTTCTTTAATATACACATAGAATTTTCAAAAGTGGTCATAGCATACTAATATAGCCATTACGCTTTTATTATAGAGAGATACTATAATAAATATAGAACAATGATTAGACAATTTTTAATATTTATCAATCACAGCAGAAACTCCATTATTATTATTATTATTATTATTAAAAAAATCTTTTGTATTATAAATTAAATTATAAACATTTGAATTTTAAATTAGATTCGACAATTTTAGATCTATAAATGTTAATAAGTACATCTAATTAGCTATAGTTAGATAAATGTGGAGAATATCGCGATTTTGGTGCGTATAATTACAAATGGACATTAGAATTCGGAAAACATGGCAGGCATGTTATAATATCATACATCACAATATTTAATAAATCCCAATACAACTGCCTCGAAATAGAAAAATGCAAATCAGTTAATAAATCAATTTATTTTACATTTTTACAACAGTGAATGTGAAAAAATATTTAAAAAGCTTATCAAGTTAAATGTACAAATGTACAGGCAAAAATAATGTTCAATACATTTCATAGCACTAATAGGTTCGCTAATTTAATTATTTTTTTTATTTAGTTGAATGATACCAACTCTAATAAAAGTGTGTATTAAAAAAATAATGGCTGTAGGTATTTATTTTATATTTAAGGTTTTACAAAGTGTAGGAAATTGAAAAGTACATCAAAGTTTAATACAAAAACTTCTATGGATCAACTTTATTTTTGACATTTCATTAATTAAAATTTTTGTGTCTAGTAAACAATGAATATAAAACAACAAAAATGCCTGACACTTATAAGTCCTGTGGATTAAAACACTAAGGTTGTTATTTTTTGTTATTTATTATCAATGCTTTTCATCCTTTTTTTTTATTGTATAATATACATATTTCATATAAAAACATTTGTTAAATGTACTTGTTTGCTTTTTGTGTGCATAGGAAGTGATCATTAGTATGATGTGATGTGTGRCTGTAATGTAAAAAATATAGCAGAGATACGTGTCACTAATCTGTATTTGATTAATAATATTTTTCAATAAATTAGTATATAATAGTTTCTGTGCATCAAACTAAAAAAATAAAAATAGTAATGCAATAAGAAATCGGAAAACTTATAAATTTTTGTTAACGTTTTATTGATACTTTTTTAACTCTTTAACTTTTTTTTTTATTTTCATCCAGAGGTGAGAATTACTTTATTTTCTTTAAAATCGTAAATGATAAATCCAAAAATTGTTAGGGTGTTTTCTTATGTGGATTATGAAACGTGATTTCGTGTTGTAAAATAAATAAATCAATTATGAGAAATGTAATATTTATGTAATTTTTTGCACACTGAGCATTTTTATCTTTACTTGTTTACTTGATAAATGAGTTAACTCATTTCTAATCAAAGAATATAAATTATAAATTATATACAACTGTAAGCTTTTATTATACTTTAACGAAAAAAATTTTTTACTAATGTGATAATTTTAAACACACTTTAATATTTTAATAAATCAAGGTTAGGTTAATAACCTCGCCAAAATCGTATTATATTGAAAACCAAACCCTTCATTTAATTAATTTAAAAACGGAATTTTACTTTTACCAATACTTCTACTCTCATGTAAAATTTTTTTTATAAGATTAATATTGCAGTTTCTTATTTGAAACGAGGTCGTGTATTAAGTGACAGCATTAAGTACATTGTTTAATTATTAAGTTTTTCGTTAGGTAGTTTTAAGCAATATTGGTATGCTATGGTATGATATGGTATGATATGAGATAGACCAGCCACAATTTATTAAGGCCTATTGACAATATTAATTTAATATGATAATTTTTTAAGAATCGAAACCAAATCAATTTTTTCTTGTACACCTAAATATATAACCATAATAGGAAACAAAGTTTTCGTTTTTTTTTTATGAACTGAGCTAGAACCAAAACCATAAAAATCATCAGAGATCCAATTTCTATGTTACGACGCACCACAATAAAACACATACATTTATAAGAAAAACTAATTACTTACCACTTTTTGAAATGTTGTAATAGGGGAGCGTTTTGTGTAATTTTGTTCATTAATTTGTAGGGCATCTATCGGAGAGACAAGAATATGATCAAATACCATGATTGCTAAAACAAAATAAATAAACATTTTCAATCATTTTTATAATATTATACTTTTTCATAAATGCTCAATTATTAAATCTTTTATTACTAGCAATAAAAATACGAAATTTTTACATAAATTTATATTAAAATACATTTTTTAAAATGTTTTTTAGGTAACTTGGGTAGATTTGTGACATATTAGGTAATTAAATTTTAGGTTAAAAACCTTAAACAATGAATGCATCGTAGTAATTTAACTATGAATAATTTAATAATTTGAAGACAAAAATATCATTTAGGTACTCTTCAAATATATTATGCAATAAAAAAGATTTTTAAAAGTAAATTATGCAGCAGATGTTTAGATAAACATGACCTACATTTTTAAAATATATAATACCTTAGAATATAACATAAACTAATATAAAACATTTTACATAGACCCACATAATTCCTTTTAGAACGCTAAATATCGATTAGTATTACAATTTCATTTTAGATAACTTACAAATACTATTTTTGGGTATACTTTATAAAACCTCATTTAATTTTGCGTTGAATACTAAACTGTTTCGACAAAAAAAAAAAAAATAATAATCTTATGCTTAAGATTTAGATTAGTGAATAAATAAATTTGAGGTAGCCCATAATGTAAAGAATATACTTATGTGAAGCAAATATTTTTTCAAAACTAATATTGACCTCACACTTCTAATTATATCTAATTAAAAATATAAATAATTTATAAGTATTAAAAGTGTTTCCCAGTAATGTATGGTTAATACATGCTTTATTATCTTTCTAAAAACAGTTATAGCATAGTATTTGTATTAATGTATTTATACATCGAAACTTTTAGATGAAATGACATATCAATGAAGTATTCAAGACACATTTATAGCTTTAGTTTTTTAAATTTAAATCTAGGTAAAGAATACAATTCAAATGTTTCAAAAATAAAAAAAGTATGAAATAAATTAACAATAAAATAATTTAACCTTAGTTCTCATGAGATTTACAAATCAAACTGTGTCTGATAATACAATTGTAATTGATTCAATCATTCATAGCTTATAAGAAATGCAATAGGTAGATAACACAACAATACAAAACCAAATCTAACTAAGTATATTAGTTTAAAAATGTATTAAATGCACAAGAACCTAACTAAATCCAATTATATCTGTAATAGATTTAATAATATATTGGGTATATGTTGAATTTTTTTTTTTTGTGTTAACTTCTGATAATCACACTGATGACATTTAATTTCCAAAAAGGTTTTGAGTGCTATTCATATTATTAAAAATTCTGTTAGAGTGTAAATAAAATAAAAAAACATGAAAAATAAATACATTTAACTATATATAAAAATCGAATGTTTTTATTATTTTAAACATAACCATTTTTTTTTTTTTTTTTTATTTGACAAATTTATTATTGAACATAAATATTATAAATGCTAAATGTTCATTTGTGATGTAAAGAGTACATTAAAAGCTTTAAACTATTTTATATAATGTTTTCCTATCTAATAAAATATAATTGCCTACCTACTTTAAATTTGAATTTAAATTTTAATATTATGTGTGTGAATTAGTGCATATAATATTAAAAAAAAGTTCTTTATATATTCTGGTTTAGATTTTTGAATTATGTTCAAACCATTTACAGAGTTAATAAAATGTTTTTTTTATTCTTAACACATCACTGTTTTCTTACATTTTTTGTCTATCGTAAAAATAATTCATTGCAATTTAGAATTGTTTTTTGTTGATAAAAGTTCAAAATTGTAAAAAAACAAATAAAAATATCTTACATTGACTAGAAAAATATAGGAAAAGATTCAATCAAATAACAAAGAATGTTCTAAAATATTGAGAATAAACTATTAAGACATATGAATAGATGCATTAAAGCTGGTGTTTAGTGGTATATTTTGTATTTCGTTTTTGGGAAAAATATTAAACATTTTAATTCATAAAAATTGTTCATTTGAAGAACAAGTAAAGATTTTTTTTTAAAATATTTATTGAATGAGGTCATTCAAATACCTTAAAATAAAGTAGATCATTCAWTTTAAGCCGACTATATTTTATTGTAAAAATCATAGATAATCAATGAAAATTGACGTTATGATACAATAAATAGCCAAAGATAATTATATTGTTTATATGAACTCGAGTACAAGTAAATGGAAACACATTCAAATTAATAAACTTAATTGAACGAATGCATAATGAAAATGTGTCTATTGCTTTATATAATTGTAAATAATAAAATAAAAATCCAATTATGGGATGTGTATTCAGGAAGTAAATTAAATCGAGTACTTACCAAATATTTTTAAGTTATGAAAAAGGAATTTATCATGCGATTACAACATGATACACTAAAATTAAGCAAAATTGCTAGTATAATACGATGTATGATATAGATTTTAGTCTAATTAGAGAATTTTAGACACAGACATTKTAAAGGGATTTGCATGGTTAACATTATTTATTCATGGACGTTAATAATGTATCAATAAATTAAAGCTAATTTATGATTTAGTCCTTATATTGTTTGGATTATTTCACCTGTTTCGTCAATGAAATAATAAATCAGTTGTGAAACTCATGACTAGAAAATCAAAATGTATAATTTCGGTTTAAATTGGTTGTTTCATCAATTGCATGCATGTGTAAGATAAAATGACCGAACCGTCTATTTTTTATTTATTATTAAAACTACTAAAGAATATAATATATTGAACATAATATAACCTTGTTTTAGTTTGAATTATTTTAACTAACCTATAATATACCTAAAATATAAAATTATAAAATATAAAAAGTGTATTTAAAAAAATATTGACTAAGTATCAATATACGTAATATGAAATTCTGTTTGAAGTAGTTTAATGAAGTATGATCATTGCACATTGCTCACTAGATATTTATAAAACATATACAAATAAAATAATAACTATTGATTAGTGTAGTTTTAAAGAGCCTGCTTTTGACAGAAAATTAACTGCATTTTTTTAATGAATATACTTCAATTGATCAACAGTATGCAAATGAGAACAATTTAATTATAATATGAATAAAAAATGTTTTTAATATTTGAAACTAGAAAATTTGTGCAAATAGTTAACTTTAATTGTTTCATCTTCTCTAAATTATTATACAGATTTTCTTTCATTCACAAAAAAAAAAAAAAAAAACAGTATATATTTAGAATCAATAAGAGGGTTTGAACTACATAAAATTGTATATTATTATGGTTAAAACAATAATTTATAAGTCTGATATGTTAGATTTGTTTACGGAATTTCAAATATAAAATCAATTTTATAACATATCATCCAATAATAAATACTAWAAAAGAATCATAAATTTTGAAGATCGGAATTTGAAATACGTTACAGCATTTTTTTTGTTATAAAAAAATGTTTGTATAACTCAAGGAAAACAAAATTTTATTAAAATGTACGTCTGTGTATGTAAATTAATGATATTCATATTATAGACTATAGTTTATGAAATCGCATATCAATAAACATCCTATTTTGAAATAACACTTTATTTTTACATAACATATTATTATAATAAATTGTMAAAATCCATTTAAAATAATATAGGTAGAAAGGAACCATAATTTWGTTGATTTAAAATTACCCTGTAATATTTGATTTCTGTGTCTGCCATTTAAACGTAATATTGTTAAATTTGTATGAACACCAATAAAATATGGTTATTCTTAWTTATAAAATCTTAGTTTCAAACATTTTAAAYAAACATTTTTGTACTCTGTAATATTATCTTTTACTAAAATATAACACATTATGTATCCATCTACTTTTTAATAGAAAATAATACACTTTGAATAGAAATGGATGCTGTAAAAAAAAAAAATAACGTTCTGAAAATAAACCTCCTACAATTTTATTATAAAAACGATTAAGTATACGTCACGTTTTCAAGTTTATTTTTTGAATTATATATAATTTTAAAACATAAATACATAAAGTACTGAGACCGTGGTCGACCCGTTTAATATTGGGTTTTCAGTTGGTTCAATATATTTTTATTATTAAACGTTGTATCCAATAATAAAACTTTGAATTTAAAAATCGATTTTCAGCAAAGCACGTCTCAGTTAACAATTTTTAAATATTAAAATAAAACAAATATAACCACTATGAGTATTTTTAGTTTTTTTCGATTGATTATGCATTTTAATAATATTAATTGTAAATTAAATGAACAAAATGCGTGTCCAAATGTTGTAAGCATATTATTTGCTTTGTCTTAAAAGTTTAAATATAATAATTTGTCAATAATAGAAATTACTGATCTACTCATCCACTCATAATTAACCCCGTCTTAATGTTAAATTTTGATACGAGTGGTATTTTACTAAAAAAACGTGTAACATATCGAAATATATTAAAACACGATTATTCATTTTAAGTATGTCAAAGTATGTATTTATAAAAATACATCCATATAGTACAATTTACAAATTCAAACACATAAYTAACTTCTCCTCCACTTAACTCAAACATATTTTTATATTAATATGATTTCAATGTAGATACAGAATAATAGTTTAATAAACTCACTGCCTTTTCAAAAAAWTCAAAAAAAGAAATAAAAATATCTAACTGATACTTTTGTATGTTTATACTCGTAGTATAAACATGATAGCGTTTAATATTTTGCTAAGTTTTGATTTTAATCGAAGCGAGTTAGCTATGATTCTACTCTACAATGGTGGTTATGTTTATCAGAAGTCAACTATATGAATTTTGAGTGCAATTAAAAAAAAACTGTATGCATTATATTTATCGTATAACATATACTTTTTTGTGGTTATGTTGGTATTTAGTTGTTGTTTTAGAAAATATTTTAATTTTAATTTATAAAATAAAAAAGTAATAAGTAAAACTAATCTTATTTTAATAAATTACAAGTACTTTTAGTACCTACTTATATACTAAATTCTAAGTTACATACATCTTATATTTTAGTAGATATAATATTTATGTAGATAATTCTTTATGAAGTTACATTATTTAGTTGTATAATATACCTAATACAAGTTTATATAGTATTTGAATATTTAACTCGAATATTATGCTATTCCCCAGATTTAATAAATCCATACGTGTTTTGCTCCTATAAAAATAATTATGGGAGTTACGCCCATGGACTACATCATATCCTGTTTAAATATTAGATTATTACAAATTACAAACTAATTAGGTAAGTTTATTACATTATATGTTATARTTTAGTTTTATAAATGTCCATATAGGTAACCAATAGTAATTGTTAATAACAAAGTAAACAAGTAATCTACACGTTTAATGTTAATGTATTCATTTTCCACCTTRATCAATATACAGGTAATATTAACTAAGATAATATTGTAAAATTATTATTCCGCGGAAAAAGTAAATTCTACAGAACAAAATAATAATCTATGTACAATTTAAAATTTAAAATTAAATAAAATAAGTTGCTGACAGATATTTTACTTGAGTACGTTGGTCAAGTACTATACTTAAAAACAATATGAAGAGGATTTTTCTGTTCATGTATTTCATAACATGATCTACGGACATACGTAGACAACATACATAATATGTAATAACAAAATACACCATTATATACTCACGGAAAATTGAGTTGACWGTTCTTGTAAAATGGATAAAAAAAAGACAATATTATTATAATTATTGATCACCGTAAAAATACTAATTAAAATTATGTATCTACATCAACTATTATGCAGTGAAAATGTTAACGAAGCTTTGAACCGTCTAGATCCAAAATTCATCGTAACGTGTTGTATAAATTTGGGAGGTACTTGAGTATTCAGTTTATGGCATTAAGGATAGAAATAAATAAGAAGATTGCCATCATAARATGAAACGAATCAGCCAAGAAGTTCAACATTTTCAGTTATAAAAATGTTCGTCGGTCGTGTCAAAGTTGAGTGTGATAATATGGTACCAAGTAGCGTACTTCAGGAGGGAGATGGGAAATCGTGGACAATTTTATAAAAAATTAAAATTCCACGAGACGTGCGAGTAAAAACGACCATCAATACAACTATGCAGTGGTATTACTGCTATCGCGGTATCTACATAATACTATGTATATATTAACAATATGTACCATTGGTTGTAAAAATAACTACAAAATATAATACTATTTACGGTTGTTCGTGGCAATACGTAAGATAATGATAATAATATTAGGTATTAACATAATTAATATTATTGTAATAGACATGAACCCGAAAGAGGGCAGCAAGACACGCGGAATGATTTTTTTACCTGCTGTAAACAAAATGCATCTAAACGTGGCAGACCAGTGGACGACGGACATTGTGCGGCCGCGTGTCTTCCGGCGGGGTTAACTTTCGACGATGATAGACGGTCGCGGCGGCGGTGATGGTACCGGTGCAAACTGCGTCGGTCGACTGAGTCGGATATCGCGCGACGGCCGTCGACCGCTTATGTGTAACGTGCGTGTGCGAGTGGCGTGTGGTGCTCGGCGTCAGGTGCGTGTGTGGGTGTATGCGTGTGCTTGTGCGTGTGCGTGTGTTTGTGTATGCGCGTTTATGCGCGTTTATGCGCGCGCACGGATGTACGTGTGTAAGTTCATGTACCGTCCGCACGAATCTGTCGTCGATCGAACGACGATTGCGGCAACGGCGGTGCTGGAGTTGGTCCGCGTCACCGTCGTTTTCGTTGACGGAGACGACCTCGGCAGTGGTGACGATGATGGCAGTATAAATGCTGTTATTACGGTTATAAAATATAACGATGTGATTTACGATGTTTTATGATTATATTATTATTATTATTATAGTAATAATATTGTTATCTTTAAAATTATTATTGTTGAGCAAACGGTTTTGGGGGAGGATTGTGGTGGAAATGAGCTAAATTAGAATCGTTATCCAAATTGCGCGGGGGGGACAACGACAGACGATGGTGTCTGTGCGCGTGGATGAAACTGCGCGTGCGGTGGTACAACAACGAGTAGAAGACCGCCTGACCGACCTAACCGATGGCGGTGGCGGCGGCAGCGGCGTGTGCAATGCGTACGGCGCACCGAGTAGGGATGGGCGAAAAATTAGGAGGAAAAAATTCCAACTCTTTGTGTTTCGATGCGGGTAACACCCATGAGTGACCCTATATTTTAAAACATCCGTCTATTTTGAAATTCATAGTTGAAAGCACATTTCTTCTTTACTTTTTATTAAAATGCGTTTGTTATGTTTTCTATATTTCTCTCACTTCTTTCTCACCCCTCCCTCCCACTCTCTCTCACACGCTCTCTCTTTCTCTCCTTCAATCCAAAGATGGCGATTATTTGTATATAGTCACAACCATGTTCAAATAACAGTTATTTATAATATAAAAATATATAAGTGCATAACATATCGCCCTAAACCTAGTGCGAGCGGCACTCCGGCGGTAATGCGTCAYAACGTGAATGCAGTTGTACGCAGTCCCCGTAAATTGCACGTTATTATAATGTGTACACTCGCGCGCGGCGCCAAATCAATATTATAACGTGTGCCGACCCGACCTCGCCTTCACCGAAAGCTTCGAACCAAGGCGATGGCAGCGAGGGTAGTAAGTGCGGCGAGGGTGGCTAGGGCGGCGAGGGCGGCAACGGTGGCCACGGCGCGCGCGTATCACAAACGACTACTGTGTAGTAGTTTGCCTCAGTATACGATCAAGTCCCTTAACCCCATCCACCCACTGCTAACCATCACCCCACTTCCACGGTCGCCGCTTCGCACCACCGCACCATTCGACGCCAACATCCACCCACGCTGTCACAGGCGGTGGCGATGACGCACCGGGTAAGTCACAAGCACCCACATGACTTATACATATAAATCATATTATTATAATATTTGGACAAATAACGTGTATTTATTTGCATGCGGTTTATGTGCATGACTGCGTGTGTGTATATGTGTGTGCACTTCGTGGGTGTACAATGACGATGACGACAATGCTGGAGGCGCTCGTGTCGGCAAACTTTTTCATTTTTATTTTTTCATCTTACCCTCCTCCATTCATCCGTTTCCGACACTTAATTCATTTTGCTTTTCCACTTAGAGAAAACAAACGGGTTTGCACGTGATCACGTTTGCCCAAAACACCAGAGCCGGCTGTAGGGTTAGTTCGTTTTGGGTTGGGTTAGGATAGTTAATCAGATTTTGTTATAAATCTATAAACTTTTATTATCTAACTATATTATAATAATAAGTATATATTATGTTTAGTTAACAATGTATTCTAAAAATTTAAAACTTTGAGATCTGTCCATGATAGTTTTAACTATTCAAAGTCACTCACAGTATACGTTAACATAAAAATAAATTTCATAATCGATGTATAATAAACATTACATTTTTAAATGACCATTATCCAGTATGGGTGTAGGGTGATAGGCTATATAAGAAAATTAATTTATTAAAATATACATATAACTGAAACGTGATCATGATGTATAAACTAGATATCAATTTAGCTACTTTGAACTTGGGTTTAGAGTTATATATTTTTCAATTTTGTAAAAGCAAATGAAGATTATGTTTATATATATTTAAACAATAAATAGCGGGTAAGGAGATGTAGCTCTGTTGTACAGTAGGTTACAAGTGGGTTAGTTTAATGGGTAGTATTAAATTTGAATTCAATGATATAATATCATTGTATACGAAAAATGATTCTGAGTGGAGATGATTAGGTTTGTCTGTCTATGATATGTTACATTATATTAATTATATTTTTATTAATGAATTATTTCAAAAAAAAAAAAAAAAACCCTAGTTTATAGATATCTATCTATCTATCTATGATGTGAGTATGTATGATAGTATAAAATTTATGTAGGTATAATTATATAGTAACTTCATATTTCCAAATAATGAATTATTTCAAAAAAATATAATAAAATGTAGATACCTATAAAATGAATTTCAAATTAATCAAATCAGATTTTTATGTACCCAACTCACTCAGTCATTTATAGTAGGGACATAAAATTTATTATAAAGTATTTACATAAGTTTTTAACATGAGATAAGCTACACATATCTACATTCTACATTACGACGATTCGACGAAGACATCACACAGCGCCCATATATATATATATATATATATATCACATATCGAAAATATAGTGGACTACCTACTCAACTACGATAATTTCAAATTTCACTTGTGATATTAAAATAATCAAAAAACAATATTATAACATCTTTTTTTTACATATAATATATTTATGGGAGTTTATTTAAAACTGATGCCAAACATAAACCTAATCTAACCTTTGATAGGTATTATATTATTCTTATTAATTAATTATTAATTATTTCTATCGGCCACAAGCCAAGTAATTTGAGAGGTTTGTACAACCATTGTACAATGTTCATCACAGCTACTGTTTATTTGTAAACCATTTACAGGAGTCAACCAGTTAACAACATATTTTGTACCTATAGTTTACTTATTTTATTTCTGTAATAACAGGGAATTAAAAAATTTGTATTCAATTCTAAATTGCGTAAACAATAATAAAAAAAAATTTAAAAAAAAAAAAACGAAATGGTATAACTATTAAATTGATCAATTAAGAGCTGAAATATTATGAAAATCATACCCGGTATATAAATGCTAGTTTAAATATTTGATACAAATGTCAAATGATGTAAACTTTTATTTGTTTTAGAATTAAACAAAAATAACAAAATCGATTTTGAATAAAAAATGGTGATATGTATATCTACTTGGTTTTAATAACATTATTTTGATCAATACTTAGATTTTATCTCATTAAAATGACAATTGTGAGTTAAGATTAATGTGTTTTTACAGCTTCAAAAAAA